TACGAGGTGAATGGTTTGGATCATTGTCATGAGTCCCATAAGATTTTTGAAGTGGAGCCTTGAGGGGAGCTGCTCCCCTCTCTTTTGAGGGTGTGCATTGTTGCGGATCTTGGGCACACCAGGGGACACTCACAAGCAAAAACACAAGACTTTTAACGTGGTTCGGCAAACCGGCCTACGTCCACGGGACCGATGTTGTTATATATCAACAAATGGAGGAGATTACACACTCTCAACTCACTGTCTCTCTATATAACACACTCTCTCACACTCTCTGATTTGCTATGATGCCCTGTATTCAACTCTCCTTAGCTTCTCTATATATAGAGAATACAAAGGCAAGAGGCACCCTTTTGAAATGAGCTGGCTGCCAGCCCATTTCGGTGGCCCTTTTCAGAATTGCCTCTCTCAATCGTGGCCCTCATGTTCGCCAGCCGTCATCTGTTGCCTCTCTTGCCTTTGTATTCTCTATAATAGAGAAGCTAAGATGGAGCACACAGTTCTGCACGATGGCTTGCTTACACTACAGCGCCCACCATGTACGCTCTTGCATAGGCCAAGCTACTACAAAATCTCACACCCTAACCCAGAGTAGAATGCGGGTAGGTGGAATCCATATAAGCACGAGTGTGTCTGATCCATTAGTGGAGAGAGTGGAGCAGTCGCCGTTGAGAGTGTGAATCTCCTCCATTTGTTGATATATTAACAACATCGGTCCCGGCACCCCCTCATGGGGTGGACGTAGGCCTGGTTTTGCCGAACCACGTTACAAAGTCTTGTGTTTTTGCTATGCTGAGTGGGTTCGCCCATGGCAAAGCCTTAGGTTTGTGTGCCAACATCCTTTTATGCAAACGCCAACAATGCACACCCTCAAAAGAGAGGGGAGCAGCTCCCCTCAAGGCTCCACTTCAAAAATCTTAGCTTCGAAGAAAAGAATAGACGTGCAAAAAAAATAATTTGAGTTGAAATATCAAATAGGCTATACTAACTAATTGTGGTTATAGGTTTTATGAAAATAAGGTAATTATAATTTTTAAATTAAAATGTGCCTAATTTAAATAAATAAAAATACAATAAGTTAGTATACTATATTGGGGTCCGAACAAGTTAATATTTTTGCTTATTAGTTTTTTTTCCGATTCGCGTATAAAATGCGGTTCAGATCATCTTGCATAGATTCCACAAAGACCCACAAAAATAGAAATCTTTATAGTATATATTTATATATGAAAGTTTCCCCACAAAAAAAAACGCAACACCATTTCATCCACACATTCCTTCTTGCTGAATAGGCAACACAATTAAGACTCTTCAGTACAAAAAAAAAAAATTATGTAAATGAATGATTAATCAAAAGAGACGTATTCGTTACTTATGTAATCATTGAATGGAAAAAAAAATCGACTTACTTATATAGCATTTCAGATGAAAAAATATTATCTGATAGGTAACTTCCATTAATCAAACTAAATGTTGTAACACAATATTTTTCTAATTTCTAACACGTGGGGCCCACCGCAACACGCCATACACTACACACCAAAGAAGTGTTGGGCGCACTTGCGTCAACTTTTTTCTTGTTCTTCAAATAAACCCACACAACCCGCAAGTGCCTTTGAGGGGCCTATGAAACTTGTAAATCAAAAACAATTAAAAGTTAAGCACTGCCCAAGAAAGTTTGGCAACATGTCGATATGTATCCTCCAAAAACTTGTGGGGCTCAATGAATCCAATAAAGCCTTGACAAAGTGAGGACACTCTTTTCTTAATTTACTTCCTTTGAAAGAGAGATTTTTATTAATACAAATGTACCTTCAACCAAACAAGTGTGCTAACATATATTTCAGTTAATAATCTTTATAAATTTTATATAGATAATTATTTTGGTTATGATTTTAGTTGAGATTTTTCTATGATTGTTATTTTTGTTATATAACTGAAAAATAATCTTTCGTCCTCAATTATGACTCATGTGATATCTATAGTTAGTTACATTAGTTATAAAATATTGGTGATTATTATTTTAATTAAGACACTACAGGAAAAAAGGGTTGGTGGCGTTTTTTTTAACGACGTTTTCTTAAACGTCACTGTTATTAACCATTTAACGGCGTTTTATAAAAACGCCGCATATTCTATTACACAAAACGGCACCGTTTTAAATAGGAAACGCCTCAAATGCGGTAGCCGCACGCGCCTCGTTTTGTGAAACTTTATTTTGAATCGGAAACCCTCTTGTAAGCATATTACAGCGTCATTACACCAAACGAAGGATTCATCTATCTCTCTCAACATCTCAAATCGAAGCGGTATTCTTACAAACCGATCTTCCAAAATGGTTAGTTTCTATAAATTCAGATGGAAAATTGCAGCCCACATCTCTCAACATTTTGAAGATTGAAGCCACAATCTCTCTCTCTTAAGTGATTTGAAGACTCAGATCGACAGCGATTTGAGCTCCATCGAAGGATTCAGATCGAAGCGATTTGAGCTCCCATCAAAAGTCCAGATCAAAGCGATTTCGAATTCTCCATCGAAGATTCAGATCGAAGCTACACCGAAAGCGTTTTGGAAAAAAAGGCCCCCCCTTTGAAAACGGCGAGGTAGCGAGCTCCACCAATCTCATTTACAGAGATTCAGTGATTTCCAGAAGCTCAGATCTGAACTCTGACCCCTCGATTACTCGTATTTCAAGCTCCGATGGCGGTGAATAGTCTACTTTGTTTCTGAACTTTAATCGGTACTCTCTCTCTCTCTCTCTTCTCGGTTTGTTCATGTCGACAAATTGTCCTTTCGTTTGACTGCATTTTTACATGCTATTAGTTTGGCTGTAGTTTCTCTCTAGCTCGAAACTGGTGTTTGATTTGGTTGTCTCGTGGAGTTGAATATGTACATTTTGAGTTTTTGATCACATTAGTTCTATAAATTCCAACCCCATTGCATTCAATCATTGGGGAATTTATCTCTTCTTTCCATGCTTTATGATTTTCCACACATTCAGGTCGAGTCATATATAAGAGTACAATAGCACTGTCTTGGTTTGTCAGGCTTACCATTGTAGTGCTGCATCAGTAAGATTTAGATATAGATACTGCTAAACAACCATCCCAATAAATTCAACAAATATTGTAGAGGCATTTAGAGAGGGGGGTAGCTGGGAAGCGACTGTCGGAGGTGGAGAAGTGGCAGGGAGAGGCTTATGGAAAGGAGGCTGCCAGAGGACGGACATGGTAGGGGTGGAGGTCTAAGAAAGAAGGGTAAGATTGGGATTATGGTGGATGTTCTCGGAAAAAATGGTGGGGATCAATTTTGGTCATGGGGTTCCAAAGAAGTGGGGGTTTCAAATTAATATGATGGGGCCATTTAGTAGCCCTCTTGATAAATCGTTGAGAACAATTTGGTTTGTTGGCACATTGCTTTTTTTGTTTTTTTTTTCATTTTTTCTGGTTTCACCCATCAATCCTGTAAATCCGCAAAACTTACTGAACTTTGTTGACGTATCACACAATAAATCTCAGCATTCATTCATTCAAGTATTTCTTAAATTGTACCGAGTCATGAACATGGCCCAATGGCCCATGGATTGTTGAATCTGTTTAATTTATCCCAGATTAAATAAAATTGCCAAACTGTTGCCAATACTTGAATTCTTTTACTTTGGTTAATATCATCATGTTGCATGATCATTTATTATTATTGTCCCAAATTTCTTTTTTTCATTTTAATGACAAAAGAGTATGGCAGGCATTGGATCATGTCATTGCGGAAGCCAGGCAACACGGAGTTCGGCTGCTACTTAGCTTAGTTAATAACTTGCAGGCATATGGTGGGAAGACTCAATATGTCAAGTGGGCATGGGAAGAAGGTATAGGTTTGAACTCTTTGAATGATTCATTCTTCTTTGATCCATCAATTCGGCATTATTGCAAGAATCATGTCAAGGTAATATTGTGTCTATCTCTTCAGTTTTTTTGGAATCCTTTTTCCCCCTCTTCTTCAATAAGAAGCTTTTGGATGTTGCTTTTGAGTTCTCATGATTTTATCTTGATCAATAGCTCCTAATACTGTTTTTATAGCACTTCAATGAGAATTTTGAGTCTCTTTTTAAAAATTGAAGGAAATAATAATTTGTTTTTCATGCATCAAAAAGTCGACAATTATGGGAGTGTTAAATGCCTTTTCTCATTTAGACACTCTAATTCATGGTCCAAATTCTCATAACAACAACAGACAAACCTGTGTGAGTGCAAAGAAGATCCTAGAGTAGCAGGTGGTTGCACATATTTGGGGTTTTACCTCAGGTCTCATTGAAGATTGGTGTCGGGGTTCCTCGTCATCAAAAAAGAAGTTCCAAGAGATTAAAGAAGATAAAAGGAAAATTTAGGGATGTTAATATTGCACCTGATTTTGAACTTTCCTAAATCAGATCACTCCATTCCTATCTGGCTTTCAGAATTTGGACAGCTTAGCTACTTGACTTGTCTCAGAAAATACTCACACTCAACACATTGACATAAACAGTTTTCTATGCCTACGTAGTTTTTGAGTGCTTAAGTAGGGAGTTTTTCTCCATTTTTTGAAGCCTAAGAAAAACATGTAGGCTAATTTAAATGCTTTCAAGACATTATGGAGTTGGGTCAAATGATATGTCTTTTGTAGGCTAATTTAAATGCTTTCAAGACATTATATAGCAACATATCAGATAATAACTGAACATTCTTGCAGGCTTGCCGCAATTCAAGGTGTATTGCCTTCTCAAAAGGATCACTTGAAAGAATTGGTAATATTGTGTCTATCTCTTCAGTTTGTTTGGAATCCTTTTTCCCCCTCTTCTTCAATAAAAATCTAATTTATCCTACCAAAAACGTAACTTCTCATGTGGAAATAGGGCCTATTTGGTAATGTCTTTTGTTTTTCTGTTTTTTGTTTTAAAAAATTTTGAAAAATGGAAACAAAAACAAGTTGGTTATTCTTAAAGGTGGCATACCGCAACTTCCCATTTGGGCTTTTCTTGTCAGCCGGGTACAAGAAGATTCCTCCATAAAGCAGAGTACGGTGAACATCTGCTACCATACTGCATGAAGTTGAGCAATTTACTAAAAACTTTTGTGGGGTTTTTTTTTCTTTCTACGGTTGTCGCTAGATTGCCATGTGTACAGGACTCACTTTGTAATTTACATTGTATTTAGCTTCATTACTGAACTTTCTGGTTTCCCAATGTCTTCAGAATTTTATACTTCACATCTGTTTCATTTTTCAGGGCAATTTTTTACTACATTATTAATATCATTCACAGGTTGGGAATGGGAGTCATGTATTTAATTGGGGAAAGAGGCAAAGGTGCTTGTTTAGAGGTGTTGGATTATTATTATTATTATTAAAAAAGAAATAAAAAAATAAAAAAAAACTGTGATTGTGTTTGGCAAAGGTTGCTGAAACTGGGTCATATGTGGAATTGCCACTTTTGTTTTGAGGGAAATTTTGGAAGCTTATGGTTGCTAAAAACAGGTTCATTACTGAAAGTTTACATTTGGGTATGGTATTTAAAGCTTACAAGTGGAATGTCACTAGTTCGGGAGAAAACTTGTGCAACTGAGCTTGTCTATTTGTGTGAATAAGTTTAGTTTTCAGTACATGTTTTTGCAGACATAGCACAATAGTGTATATTATGTTCATATATTCTGGTACAATTGAAACTTAGGTACTCTGCTCTTGCAAAATTTAGTTCTGATCTTTTTTTCTATTTGTACCATTTGGGAATTTTTTATTTTTTATTTGAGCTAGAGAATTAGCAATCCAAATTATTGTCATCAAAAGAAGTGTTTTTAGGGAAGCAAGGAAAACATTGTGGATCAAAGACCTGCTAAGGTTTTTTGACCTTACAATTGATTGGTCCAACCTAAGAACATGAACATGATCCAACGAAGAAGTTAATGGATAGTAGATTTCATCTAATACATATATGATTCATTCAAATTATATTAATTGAGTTTTTAAATTGGGTAAATATTAGTCATTGTCTTATGATTTGGCTTTCATTCACTTCTTCATATTTGTATGCATCTAGGAGTTGGTCCTACCATTATGAAAACATGTGTCCTGGTTTGTGCCTTTTGTTCATTAATTCATCATCTAAGAACGGTGGGTTACGATATTTTGTGATTTTCATCTATTACTGTCAATAAGTTTATCATATTGGTGATTTGAGTGTTTTCCTTTCATATTGTTTTTCTTTTTCCAATGCTTTTTGGGTTAAATTGAATTTCTTTTGCCTCAGGCACCATGGCAATTGAGTACCTCGAGGACAACAAGACTCAGACGGAGATCATTGATATCCTTCACAACACCTATGCTCGGCTGATCCCTTTTGAGCAAAAGGTAGTAACTGACATAAATGCCATTGGATTTGAATAAACTTGTTTGTTCACCATAATCCCGAGCTTTAGGCATTGTCAAGTTTCTCATGCCTAATTTGTAAACACTAATAGGATTAATGAATTCCAATCATCAGCTGATCTCCAAGAAATACAATTATAAATTGTATCTTTCAATTTACAACTGCAAATTACCTTTGTGACTTTATTTTGTTCTTCAATGTGGATTTCATGTCTAAAACTCATTTCTATCTCTAGAACATTTTCTTTCTAGTTGAAGACGGTAAACTCATTTCTTTATTTTTAATTGTTTATGGATGTAATATTCATTTAAATTGCAAATATAAATACAGAAAAAATATAATTTTTTCCTTTATCTCCACCGTATCCATATCCTTCTATATGTGCCGTACACATCTTAAATACTATATCTAGTACCTTATTGTACGTATTCTCTTATTAGGAAATTTGTTACCCACATTCAATGTTATAAACTCATATTTAGAACTTGTCCTTATTAGGGCTCCTGAAGCGTGGTCCTTGTAGCTGATCTTGTGGTTTTTCCCTATCAGTCTCTTCTTTCAAAATCATCACGTGAATCACTTGGTGTGAATCTAAAGAATGATATCGTTATAATAGATGAGGCTTACAATCTAGCTGACTCTCTTGTCAGCATGTATGACTCAAAAAATACAGGTATAAAAATATTACCCTTGTTTTCATGATGGCTTCTTTATTTTCTTATTTTTTTCATTCTTGACTTAAATGACTATAATGTCTGATATTTTTCACTAGCAAGCTTAAATTCTTAATAATGATTATTGGATGAATCTACTTAATCTTGGAGCACAAGTGGTTTGTTTGTCCCATGGTTTTTTACCCTTTTGGGTTTTCCACGTTGAATAGTATCTCTCCGTGTGATTGCTTATTTCTATTTATTAATTGGCTCTTAACTCAGTAATATCTAGTAAATCTGCTAATTTTAAAGACTCCTGTTTAGTTTTTTAGAATTTGTTGATAGATAGTAAATTTTGATCATAGTGAATGCTTGTAACTATTTGTCTTGTGAGTATTAATCTTTCTCCTGACCATATTCCTCTCCCAGAGAAGTAAAGAGGTTATATTTTTGATCAAATTTTTGGATTCTTGGTTATACCGTAAAAAACCAAGTGTTGACTCCCAATCTTTTTCAAAATACAGATTGAAATATTTTTCAAGCCATTGTGCTTACAATTGTATCATTAATCATGTTAAGAAACTATCTTCTTATATAGTTTGCTTTTGCTTCAGAGGTCTTGACCAAGGAAAACATTGTGGAACCTATGGGGGAAAGACTATGGGATTTAGTAGCGAAAGTCTCAGGTTCAATTCAGTTTAAATTACATAATAAGAAGAGAAAACTAATGCATTGTCTTTTAAATTAAAGTGATGAAAAATTCAGAAAAACTCATCGTTCTCATTTTTGTAAGGAAGAAGTTTCCAAAAATTCAAAAACAAGTTTTTTTGTTTTTCAGAAAAAGTGAGTTGCTTCCACAAAATTTTTCAAAAACCATTTTTTTAAACAGTTCACCAAACAAGTTTTATGTGTTTTTTGAAAAATAAAACAGAAAACAGGAAACAAAAAAATACAGCCAAACATGATTACATGTAAGTGGTAGGTTTTACAGGGAGATTGTTTACTTGTAGGCTTAAGGAGGAGCGGCAAGAGTTGTAGAATGCGATGGATGAACTATCTACGTCCCAATCTTAAGCACGGTCGACTGAGTGCAGAAGAAGAGAGGATCATTCTTCAACTTCACAAGCAATGGGGTAACAAGTAAGGCCCTTTTTTCTACGTCCTTTAAATGCCTCAAGACTCACATAACAGAACCAAATTTACTATGCTACTTAAATTATGCCTATACTTCTATGCCAAACAGTAGCGTCTTATACAAGTTGTCCCAAGTTTTGTTTAAAATATGTTTGTTGTTTACTTCATAGATGGTCAAAAATTGCTCGAAGGTTGCCTGGAAGAACTGATAATGAGATAAAGAACTACTGGAGAAGTCATTTGAGAAAGAATGCACAAGTCCGAGAGCAAGTTAAATTTGCTCTGGGACACACTATCAATATTTGAATAACTAACCAGGCCACCTCAGCCTTTATGTAGTCCAAAAGTAGATGGGTACGGCATCAATTACAACTTATTTTGTGCATTGTAATAGCTCAACTAGATGCATAAAAATGACGTGGAAAACAGGCAGGGAAAACGACAAAGGAAATTTGTTGAGAAGTTCATTTTTAAGGGGTGTGTAGCATTCAGTCAAAAACTTCTCTTAAGGTTTTTGTTGATGATGTTAACTTTTTTTTTTTCCTTACAATAAAGTAACAGGAGTGAATTAATAAAAACCTAAACTTCAGGGAGGTTTCTGTCATTTCAAAAATCTCAAGGGAGGTTTTTCTACCATTTCATTAAAATTCAATGCTCTTATCATTCAATGTTTATCAAGTCCTGTTAGAAACACTGTAAGGCGTAAAACTTTTTCCTGGGTTTTTTTAAACTGAATGAATACATCATTTCAATTGTCGTTGTTTCTTCACTTCTTGAAGTTGGGGTCCATCATAGATTGGAAGGAACTCTGAATTAGATATTAAACCACCATGATTTCATAATTTGAAGGAAAACAAAATAATTTACATTTTGTTTGTAGAGAACAACATATTTGAGATAGTTTTTTTTTTTTTTTTTTCTTTGTAGATACTAATCAAATTATGTTTTTAATTTTTTTTTTTAATTTATACATACGGTGTAGAAATCATATTCATCTATGTTTCTAATTCAAGTAAATTACAATTTGTAGGTAAATTATGCTCTTGGGGCTCTGTATTATCTGTGTAATGGTTCTAACAAGGAAGAGATATTGAAGCCAGAGGTGGTGGATGTCATCAGAAGGTATGCAGCAGCTGGTGCAGTTAGTGTAAGCTTCAGTAATCTAGCTCAGGCATTTCTAGATAAGCACGTTGATGAACACGAGTGACAGATAAATTCTACTTTTTGGTACTAATTCATTCAATGATGTCATTCATATTTGGTATAATTTGTGTCACATTAATATCGTAACTTGACTTCTTTGTTGTTTTAAACACCTTGTAAATATGCAATTGCCTTTGTTAATAGTTATTACCTCTGTTTTCATTGAGAATTACTAGTATTGTACTTTTGTAGTGGTTACTAGTTAGGTTATCGTGCACTGAGCCGCCCTTTACAGTTCTTTTTTGTTAAATATTTCAACTTGGGGTTTAAAAAATTCCCATCAGTGCACGCCCTTTACAGTTCTTTTCTGCTAAATATTTCAACTTGGGTTTTAAAAAATTCCCATGACTGAATTTAGATAAGAATTTAAAAAGAGAAAGTGTGCAAAACGTATGTAAAATATAATTTACATTTTATTCACATTTCACCTTTTTTTTTCTCTTTCGCTGTCCAAATCCCTCTCCATATCCAACTTTAAAATTCTAGTTAATTTTTTTTGTTTATCTGGGAAACTAGGCTTACTGTATTTTGGTTGCATAGCAAGAATTGCAATATCATGTTGTTTTGCTAAATCAAACAGGTGAAGAGCACTTCATTAGAGAACACAAACTCATTCACAACAAAACCTGCTATTTTATTTCAAAAGTGATCTTACACTAAACACAGGAACAGAACACACTAACAAGCACAAACACAAGTCACTAGTCACAAGCCACTCTCAAAATCCAGACAAGGTCACCACTTCTTGTTCCCGTCCCACCACAGATGCCAGGTATGAATTATCTGAATTCCTCACAGAACAATTCGCCCGAATCTCCCCTTCCGTCCCCGTCAACACTGTCAACTGGCCCATCTTTGTCATCGACAACACAAACTTCTAGATTTTCTAGATTTTACAGTGTTTCTAGATTTTCTTATGAAATGAGAAATAAAGCCTTACAGATTGTCACTGTCAAAGAGAAGTAGAGAAATAAAGCCTTACAGTGTTTCTAGATTTTCTTATGAAATGAGGCCAATTTTCCCAAACAGATTTGTTTGAGATTCTTTTTTAGTTTCCTAGAAAGAGCATTGATAAAGAAGTAGAGGAATAACGGTTCAAATCATCCATAGGCTAATGCAACTGTAGAACTTCATATCAGCATCGCTTGTTGCTTCCATTGGCTTTGTAACCATGCATATATCATTTCTTAACCACAACGATGTTCCCTGCTCTGCTTCATTACTTAGATTAGCAAGTATGTCATGAAATATTTGTGTTAAGGAATTTTTTTCCCCTTGCGCTTGGATTTTTCATTGGAATGATCAGAAAATGGTAGTAACATTACAATATAACTATTCCCTTCACTTTTCAGAAAATGGTCCATGCTGTATATTGCTCATCAATCCCTCTGAAAAAAATAACAATGAAACTAGACAGAAGTGAACATCTTGATTGTTCTTGGAGGTTTATTTTATTCATAATTCTTACCCCTAGGAGTTGATGATAGTGTTTTTCAATCAATATCTGGTCACAAGAAACTCACACTGCTTTCACTGTATCTTTCTATAATTTTTTTTGACTTTAACAATGAAGCAAAATTTGAAATGGCAAGTTTTCTAAAAAATTTGGACCAATTTGATTTCATCAAGGTATGCCGAAATAAGTATTTAGTATCTGTAACCCATAAAAAATTTCGTTATGTATCAGTATCTGTTAATCTGTTTTTCTGCTGCTGTGTGGCTGGTCTGCTACTCTGTATCTGATGCTAATCTGCTGTGTATTTGCTACTAAAAGGAAGAGACAGGCTGCCGAAAGAGCTGTTTTTCTCTAGGATCTACTAGTCTCAACTCTGTTAGATGACTAGTGAAACAACAGTAAGTTGATATAGAATAGCTATAAAATTGAGTAATTAAGTGATCATGATTAGGGGCAATTTGGGTATGGTCTCGCATTGTTCAACAACAACCCAACGTCTAGCCCAATCAAATGTTTTATTGAATAATTTCGGAGGTAATTATTCTTTCTCCTTCCTATATCTTTCTATAATTTTTTTTGACTTTAACAATGAAGCAAAATTTGAAATGGCAAGTTTTCTAAAAAATTTGGACCAATTTGATTTCATCAAGGTATGCCGAAATAAGTATTTAGTATCTGTGACCCATAAAAAATTTCGTTTTGTATCAGTATCTGTTAATCTGTTTTTCTGCTGCTGTGTGGCTGGTCTGCTACTCTGTATCAGTATCTGTTAAAATAAAATGTTTTTTGTTCTCAAAGTAGCATAAAATAGAAAAAGAAATTGAAAATGGTTGGGTTTGTTGTTGTTGGAAACTTTTCTATAAACCTGAGTTAAAAAGAACCAGTTTTAACTCAAGCTATTTGGGAATTATCTAAATGTTGTTTCCCAACTCTATTTTTTTAAACTACTTCAAACAGGTTATTACTTATTTTCATTCCGTTAGTTTTGTTGATAACATCATGGGGATGGAGTTTTCAAAAGTATAGATCATACTTCTACTTGCTCTTCAACTGCAACTTGATTCTTTTGGAATGTGAATTTTATTAACTATTTATGGTTTCTATGTTTTGGTTCCTCCTCGTTTGTCTACACTCTCCCCTATATTTGTGAAATGGATGTGTTTGTTGGGTACTAAAATTATCTGTGTTGGCTCTGATGTTTCAATTTTGTGTTTTTGGAGCAGATTGTTGTTCGCTAAATGAATTACCTGCAGAACCTTCAGAAATCATGGGGAGTAGTGGCACACCAAACGAGCAACAACTGCCTGGAGCGCTTATGCAAAAATGGTTAACTGAATTCTTTCTTCAAGAAGCATAGTGTATGGTAGTTGAACCATGTTTTGAACATATATGTCTTCTATCAATGGTCTAATGGCAATTCATAGAAAGTTCTTAGCCCTAGTTGAACATTTAAAATTGATTACCTCCATTTTCCTGATTTTAGATATTGAAATGCGGTTAACTGCCTTTTTGTATTGCATGGTCTATCTTTTCCTATGGAGTAGGGATAAGGTTGTAGCCATAAATATTATTTTCATGTCCATGTGAGGTTGAATCATAAGCCTCAAAAGGAAGCAATTCTTGTAATTTCTTCACAGCATGGTTTTGACTTTACCAGGATAAGTTATTAGACAAGCATATAGACCATTTTGATTTTAATTGATGTATTTAAAGTCTGAATTGTTTCTATTCTTAGGTATGTAATGCATTGTTTTTTATTTTTTATTTTGTTTTCAAGCTTAGTTTATTTATTATTTTAATAAACATTAATTATTAGTTCTTAATAATTGTTTGCCAGGTTTTTTTTTTGTTCAACCATATAAAATTAACACAATCTAAAATTTTAAAAAAAGGCTATGGTGGCGTTTAAAAAACGTCACTATATCCCATCCCAACGGCTAGATTTTAAAATGAATAAATGTCTATGACGGCGTTTTAAAAAACGTCGCTAAATGTCAGAGTGACGTCACACTACAGTTAGGGTAGGGCATTTGGCGGCGTTTAAAAACGCCGCCTATACTAATATAACGACGTTTTTTAAACGCCATAAAGTTATAGCGACGGCCGCGTCCTCGACGTTTGGTACTAAACGCCACAAAAAAAATTAACGACGTTTTTAATACTTTTAGCGGCCGCTAAAAGTGAATTTTCCAGCAGTGAGAGATGCCTGGTTATAATTTAAATGGTGTTTAATAAATTATTTATAACAGAAAGTGATTTGGTTATGATATTTTGTGATATCAGCACTACAAAATATCATAACTTGCATATGATACTTCCTTTTGAGCATTTGTATGTAGAAAGACCCTTGAAAAAATTATGCGCTATATGATGTGAATTCAACAGAAAAGATTTTTAGAGTTATCGTGTGATCGCCATCTACAAGAGAAAACACTGTTAATACCACAGTCACTGGACAACCGAGGCATTTCAATACCCAAGTCAGACCTCCAATATTATAGAAATATTTAATAGACAATTGGTATAAAGAAATAAATGTATCTTAACCCATAGGGTGTAGGTTTGTTTATAGTAGTTTACTATTTGCTTAACAAGTGTTGTACAAAATGTATAATTCAATAAAAATAAACAAATTCATATTTAAGTAAATTCAAATCACAGAACAAGAAATGATAGAACTTTTTTATGCTAGAGATTACAATTTGAGATGCAGAGAAATATATAACAAATATTCTGGAATAAAATAGTAAACTGAAACAAGAAATAGGAAACAAACCAAAACTTGTGTGATACCATAATTTCCTTAAAACAGATTCATCGCCTCTCAATGGGTGCTAGAGGTATGCTGGTGCCTATCTCTCAGGATACCACGGTCAGAACCAGCTCATGTAGAAGCACTTTCTGAATAGTTTCGGTGAACTTGACAATGATATCACTCTCTTTCTAATAAGAACCAAAGAAGGGGATATTAAAGAAGATATGAAAAAAAAAAATTGGTATAAAAACCATTTCCAACTTTATGATCTCAAAACACCATCTCTATTTTTCATATCAAAAATCTCTTCTAAAACATACTACTAAGTTAGAGGAGAAATGTCTCTATTTATACGAGTAGAAGAGTCTCTAGCCATGAAGGTTATGGCATCAATTGCCATTTGTTGGACAATCTTCACTGTATTTAAATAAATTATATTCTGTTGTGTACTTAACAACAACTAGAATATAAAAGAAATAAAGGAAAAGAGAGAATTTTTTTGATTACATAAATCAAACTAGAAATAAAAATAAATAAATAAAAACAGATTTTATTTTGTTACAAAAACAAAATTAAAATCTGATTTAAATAAATAATAATAACACAAAAAATAAATAAATCACTTACTTGATTAATTTCTTGAATATTATTCTGATCAAGTCCAGTGTTCGATACTGTGTCCTTAAAACAGATTCGTCCTCTCCATGGTGCTTTCAGAATATAGACGTCTATCTCCCAGGATGAAATGATCAACAACAAATAAATGCAGCACTACAATTTATTTGTACAACGAACACACTAAGTGTATATACTCTTTCTCATAGAAAAATAATGCAGCAATATGTAAGAATAATAGCAGAATTATTATGGACGAAAATTGTGAATGAATCATCAAATGAGGACTGATCTATTTATAGAAGTAATGGCACCTTTTAACTTTGAATTGAACAGGTAGCATACTTGTTTGAACAGGTATTGTACCTGTTGGGTTTGAATTGGACAGATAACCGAATTTGTTTGAATTTGAAAATTAAACAGATTTGAAATCTGTTCGGGTAGAACAGATACGGTTTGGACAGATATTCTAAAGAGGTGCAATTACAAAATTTGAATTTAATTTCCAACCAGAATTTTGAAATAAAAACGGACATATTTCATTTCAAAATAAATCAAATAAACTCAAATGTTTTTGACCCAAAAAGATTAATATTTGACCAGACAAGCCCAACCCAACCTTACACTACGCACCTGCGTCCAAGCCCAGGCCCAGCCCTGTCCACCCGACCTACCAGACGGTGGACATAAATTCTGAAGAGGTACAATTACAAAATTTGAATTTAATTTCCAACCAGAATTTTGAAATAAAAACGGACAGATTTTATTTCAAAATAAATCAAATAAACTCAAATGTTTTTAGCCCAAAAAGATTAGTATTGGGCCGGACAAGCCCAACCCAACCCAACCCAACCTCACACCACACACTCGCGCCCAAGCCCAGGCGCAGCACAGCCCGCTCGACCGACCAGGCGGCGGCAGCGGCGCGCGCGCACATGTGTGGTGATTTTTGGGTCCAATAGGTCTAGCCCACTTTGCCCATAACCTCTCCCTTCTACAAACTTGGGGTGCCCCTTGGGGCCCTTCCCAAATTATAATTCCAAGCTATATAAACCCATTCAAAACTTTCTACCAAATCAATGTGGGACAAGCCATTACACAAGCCTTAAGAAATTTCCACAAAAACTCCATTTTCATGGAGCACACTTTGGCTTCAATTTCCCATTCACTCGATAATGGTTTTGAGTAACCAAATATACCACGTGAATCATAACGTAGCATAGAACGCGTTTCCACTTTGACCCGACAACTTTGGCGCACGGGTCCCACCTTAATAATAGACCAAAGTTCTGAAAAAATTCTGATTTTACCCAGATTTTTCAAAACATTTCTAACAATATTAACCAAGGCCATCAAATGTCATCAACTTTAGCCATTAGGGCTAGAGTTACAAATGTTCTAAACTCCAAAAACACTATATAAATCATAATGCGTATATAATGTATAAGTTTTGATAATTAAACTAAATGGGTTGCAAAATGGATATGAGTGTTGGGACACAACCCGATCCTAGCCCAATCTCAAACACATGTATAGGCTAAGCCTAGTACAGCTCAACCCAAGCTCAAGACTAGGTCCAAGTCCAAGTTTAAGACAAAACCCAGCACATGCACAAGTACAAGCCTAGGCCCAGTCTAAACTAAGACTAAGTCCAAATCTAAGCCCAACTTTATTGATGCCCACTTTATCAAACAATTCTCATTCACAACTTAATGGTTTCGGCCCATCATTTTTATACTATAATCTTTTCACTTAAGAGAATACAATACCACTTAGACCTACTTCAACCGACGGTTGGATCCTACTTTAATCTCACATTAAGTTTCCAAAAGCCATTATTTTCCAACAATCCCTCGCATGAATAAAATTGGTCGAATAAAGAAAAACAGACAACGCTTAACAACAAAGAATCGGAGAGAAGGCACACAGAATAACCTTACATCAGAAAAGATAGCTGTTGGCCTTGAAACCTTCGTAGTGAAAGCCTATTGTATTTACTGGTTGACCAGTGAACGTGATGTCTTGAATTATTCTGTCATTTGTGTAAATCAAGACAATAAACCTCACACAGGAGTTACTCCAACCATTGTTTTTGTTCTCACTAGTGTGTTCGGTTTGGCCCTGGAACACTAGCTTGGTTGAGTGAGTGTTTTTAAAGATTTTGACATTGTCAATTCTTAAAGAAGCGGCCCCACTTCACACTCACATAGGTGACCTACATAAGGTATCCCGTTATACCACGGTTGTCTATTCACGACACTTAAGTCTTTAAAAGCATCAGCTTAACCTTCCACCCCACAAAGTATCACTGCATAAAGGAATAGATAAGAGGATTTGCCTCTGTAGTGACTCACCCATTCCACGCAATTAGGTTGTCCTTTTGAACCTAAACCTTACAATCTCTAATTAACTAGGTTGAGTTTTCTGTTCCGATAACACTCTGTAGACACCCCATTTTTTACCAACCTTCAGACTCAGACATCACCAACTGAGCGCTCGATGATGTTGCATATTGTGCTCGTTCTGAGGTTGCAAAGTCTCGGCTGAGAGCCCTGCCTTCGGGCTTCGGAACCTTTTTGTGCCTTGCCTCGGTTTGCAAACCAGGTCCTGTTTTCTCTATTTTCTCTTCTTGAAGGGAGGGAGAGGTCTCGTAGACCATCTCTCAGTGGCCGTAGGCTACGTTTTGTGGTCGTAGGCCATTTTTCCCATTTGAAGACCAGTTTTCTGTTTTCGGAGCCGTCGGCCGTGTGCCTCGGTTTGGGACCGCTTAACTACCTCCGTTTGCTCCGGTTTTTGGTACACACCTTGTTTCCTTTCCTTAAAGGGACACTGTGGCCAGGGAGACCACCTTCGTGGTCGCACGCCACTTTCGATGCTTAACAGTTAGTTTTCGGGGCACCCGGCTGCGCGTTTTGGCCCCTGAACCTTCATTTTATGGACCCTAGTTTCATGGTTGGGAAGGTGGTAGTAGGGTGGGAGACCACATT